TAACTTTAATGCGAATAGGGTGCAATTATTTTGTGCATTACAAACGAATAGATGCCTCATTGCGTCCTCCTCACTCTCCTATAACAGAGCTCTTTCCTTTTCCCAGTTTTCTGAAAGTTCGCCGCCGGAACGCTTGTTCATTTGCACTTGTGCGAGATCAAATAGGGGGGTTTATTACCGCTCTTTCATCTCCCATGAGCCATGCAGCCAGCAGCCATGTGGCTACCATACATCTCTGGACACAAGCAGTCCTGTCCCAGAATTCCTGAGGTGTACCTCCCAACATATTACCACCACCTCAAAAGCTCTTAACAATCCCATATTCCTTGAAATCTTCACAGGGTTCCATACACAACTTTGTTTTACTGCTCTGTTATTAGCCAAAACCACAAAAATGCAATCTTCTATTTTTGATTACCTGGCATGGCTGGTGATGATTGTTTATTGTCTTTGGTAAAAGCCATTTGTGATAAAAACATAAAATCATCTGATTTTACTGTTAGAAAAGATTGGATTGGAGTTTGCATAGGGATAAAGGCCAACTCATCACCGGAGTTTCACGATGAAGGCAGTGAAAATGAAGCAGCCAGTGCGTCTTTAAGTTCCTCTTCATTGTTTATGAGCAATGTTGGCAGTTTCCATCTCAGGGAGAGTTTCATTTAGTAAATATTTTCATTACCGCCATGCCTGAATGTGAAGGACGTTCACTTCACACTAAGCAGAGCAGACAAAAATTAATTATTTCAAATTTCTTTTTTTTTTTGAGCGTTTACCCCCTGGATGGTTTATTTTCAAACCCTGACAGCTAATAGAGCAGACGGCCTGGTGTTGCACAGTATATGACTTCTTAAATTACTAGAGCAACGCTTGGCTGAGAGGTGACAAGGGCATCTTCAACACGTCTGTGTGAAAGTCAATATGACAGCCAGGCTACAAAAGGCTCATTAATAACACAAGTCTCATCTTGGACTCCGGGGGTAACTAAAGATACCCTCCCACCAACTTTCTGCAGACGTCATTAACGGGAAAAATGGTCACCATATTGAACAACAGCCTCTGTACCAGGCCACCATGGGTTTATTTATTTGGATTTGTGGCGCTCTGTTTCCACTAAGTTTCCTGTATAAATTTCTCCCAAAAAATGTTTTTTTCTTGTATCGTAACTGATGTTAGGCAGGGGAGCGTTTACTTTGAAGTCATTACTTCCTAGGCTAAACTTTTAGTGAAGCTACTATTTGAAAAGTTAGTTAGCTACACTATGTAGCAAACAACTCTGAATATGTAAGAAGACACTATCTTTTTTAAATATTTCAGATAATGTGACTTGAAGCATTAAATCGCAGTTAAATGTACATTTAACCTAAATACAAGCAGTGAACTAGAAAAATCATAAATTATATACATGGGTATACAATAGACGTCAGCATTTACCAAAATCTTGTGTAGGGACTCAAATGAATCAGTGAATAATTTTTAAACACTTACATGAACCATCTAAACAAAATTATTCACTAAATGAATCAAACATCACAAAAAAGAACAGTTAGAAGAGAGCACATTTTCTCATGGCTGCAAAATACAATGTGACAAATACACAGATGTACTGTATTGTTTTGTCACACTACATCACTATGTGACGTCTGAAAAAATTAACTACTTCTACCCCCCAACACTTCATTAGAGTCCTCTTTCTTTCTGCCTACCGAAAGCCTAGCAAAACCCTCATCAAATCATTCAGAAACTCTGGTTTGATTCTTTTGTTTACTGGTTGCTAGCTGCAACCGAGTGTTTGAGTCCGTGATCCTTACATCACAGTAACAAAATCATAAAACCACACACGGTTCTATTCATATTTGTTAACTTAGGATAAACACTGTCACTTGTAGCTACACTCAGCCACAACTAACAAGATGTACTGATGAGAATAACGAAGCCCTTGATGTGTTGCTCTGGTGACAAAGCGCGCAAAACAAGAGCCCTCGTAAACCTGAAACAGCCCGGAGGCATGCGCATTATCGAATCCAGCCTTCCATTAAAGTATGACACAAGCTTGGTAGATTCACAGACTTCTGGGTCCCTGACATTCGGAGTGACCTCTTCGAGACTTTTGTGACAAGAGGTCTGCTGGCTCGCAGACTCACCAAAGACAGCGCTAAGCTTTGATGTACTGCCTGAAATGAGACACATTCAATATTTTCCGTGCACGAAAACTTTTTCTTTTTTTTTTTACTAAAGTTGGGTTGCAAATCTTTCCCCGAAGTCTTTGCCCACAAGCAGTGCCAGCAGCTATCTGGCAGACTGCAGTGTGTGAACGCGCACCGAGCGAGAGACTTCACATATGCTCCTCATATGCCCACTGAGGTCAGCAGGGCACCGGAGACCACAAACCCACCTCCTGATTCGCTCCAATACCAACACAACAAACACACACACTATCCCGCTGACTGACTCTTTGCGATAATAAAAAACTGACATGAGGCATAAGCAAACGCTGACAAACGGATATGCAATCGAGGGCGGAGCTTCCAGTTGGGAAAGCAGGAGTTGGCGGTTTCACACCGAAACTTCATTAAGACACCCAGAGTGTGATGAGAGGAAGGGAATGCTGCCATTCTCTCTCCTGATCCGGCAGACCAAACACGCTACACCAGCCACAAAGTGCCACATTGTTCCTAAAGTGTTAACTGCGAGAGGGCCTAAGACTCCAGCGGAGAGAATTTTCTATTAAATGCTACAAAGTGTGTGCGTAACTGGTGCAAATTAGAGCGAGGGAGATGAAAGAGCATGTGTGAGTGACTGAAAGGGGATATTACAGTTGCGACAGGAGCTACTAATGAGCGCAAAATCATATGAGCTGTCAAAGAAAGAAAAGCCTTTCGAATAAATGCACATTTATTAGAGGGAAATGTGCCTGAACTCTGGAATTGTGGGTAACTAGGCCTTGCTTAGGGCAGAGGTGCAGTCATTAACAGTTAAATCAACACTCCAGGGTGCTCTGGGAAAGCTGGTGGCGTGTTAATCGTACCCAGGAGACGTGGAGACGGGTGCTTCTGGACTTGGTCTTGAAAACTGCTACTTTGCAGATGCCGAAGCTTGGTGCAAAACATTGGATGAATTGCTTGGTTTTCAATGAATAAAACTGGTTATGAGAATATGCAAAGTCATTAACAAAAACAAAGACTTGCATCTGTCTCTAGTTTAAGCAAGACTCAACCTGACATGGTATATTTTAAAACAAATCCAATATACCGAGGGTCATGACCGTAATTTATTTTTCTCTCCACATGAAAAATTCCACTGAAAAGCCCTTTAGGGGTTAAAGGTTGGAAGGTTCAACCAGACCTCTGGCCACTGAACAGACTGGAAGTCTTTCCTATCAGATCCCCCCAAAAATATTATATTATACCAGATGGTTGTGATACTTAATGAACTGGCATGGCTTATCACGACAGAAGTGCCGCAGGTGGAAACAAGGAAATTAAGGATATTTTCACAGTGAAATTCACCAGTGGTTAGAAGTAATCTAAACACATAAGAGAGTCAGTCTTCAGCTGCAGTGCGCCCCTCAACGGGCTTGTGGTTCCCCAACGAATACAGTCAAGGTACATACACACACTCACACCATATGTCCATTAATCATGTTAATGTTTGTGTAAACTCATTATACTGGATGAAAGAATCCGCTGCAACGCTGTTCAGCATTCAGATGTGGACACAATATCTCAAGCCTCATTTAGAACATTCTGGATAGAATCAATGAAATGTGATTTTAAGTCCAAACTTTTCAAACTCTCAATACAAAACTGCACTGAAACTCATCGTGCATTAGACAGTTTATAACAGGCTACATAGAATTGATGTAAGTTTAAACGAAAAACTTAAAACTTGCAGCACTTAAAATTGATTTGTATCCTCAACAGAAAAACATGACACTGAGTATATCCCATACTGATATTAAAATAAATATTTTGTTAAAAACTGAGCCTATGCTTTAAATCTATATTTCACTTTAAGAAGAAAACTGACCTGCTTTAACAACTGCAAAAACACTGTTTAACGAGGAAACCTGACCAACTGAGCAAAGGTAACATAATGCAATTTTATCCTATCAACTTAACACATCTTATTAAGAAAATTATAGTAATGTTTTACAATAGTGTCTATATTACACAAAATACTATTACTGTATTAAAGCCCATTTAATCCCAGTGGTAACATTTGTGACCTGCATTCACTTAATGATCTGTTGAGTTACTGATGTGAAGTGAGTTGTGCAACTATAAATGGGGTTCAGACTGTCTTGATTTCATGTGAACATTTTTTACATAGCTAGTGTAAAACGCTACAAGACCAACGCTGATTTATTCCAGTTTGAGAGAGATCTGAGAGATGATGTCTTTTAAAGAGTTTATTATTGATGCATTATTAAATCTGCTCTCTCTCAAATGTTCACAATACATGTAATCATATCATTGACCAGTGGGGAACCCAGAGCACAACTGTGATGGATTAATTCCTATTATAAAATTGTAGATTTTAAAGCATAATTGCAAGTAAAATAAAAGCACTGCTTCTTGAATTACCATTCTATTTTCAGCACAGTTGCTTGTTCGTTGAGTAGATAAATACATATTTTAACCTTTATCTTTGCATCTGCGCTTTTTTACTTATTTTTTTCTATGTATTTTTTATACCTTTTAGTAAAAGGCATGCAGATATGGTATCCAAAATGGGTTTATTTAGCTTCAAAACATTTTTTTTTTTAATTACCAGCCTACTTCAGTGTTTAATACCATTCAATACGTGTAACATGGACATGGACACTACTTTATGTTACAAGCCAACAACAGCTGTAAAAAGAAGATGAAGAAAAAAACTTTAATTGCATCTCCCGCTCACAATACATCAAATCGCGACGGTGCCACTGTCTGTGAACAGAGGTACGCACCGCTGTCATTACATTATTGGTATTCAAGTAACGCGATAATAGGCGTACTTACAGTCTCTCGGCATTCCTCGGGATTCCCCTGGGCACCGTCCTGAAGCCTAGACCCTGACAATCCACATGAGAGCCCGAACAACTGCACTTATGCGGGCATCCATTCACAGCACAGCACAGCAGCCCGCACAGCACAGCCACTGTCCCCCAATACTTCACCCACCGCATCATAAATCCTCTGAGGCTGAGAGCAGCCCAATAACAAAAGAAAAAAAAAATATGCAAAAACAACAAAATAAACTAATGCGTAGGCTATTTGAAAAACAAATATATATCCGCGTCTTGTCCACAGCCAATTAAATCCCGCGCGCAAAAAAATACAGGTAGGACAAGGGGTGAAAAAAAAACTTAAAGATGAGCTACAATACCAGCATAAAATAGTTCCAACTTAGAAAACTTCTCGAAATGCATCAGAAAAAGCTTTGCTCATTCAAACGCGAGGCTTCATCTGTCTCTCCACACCACTGAAACATACAGATGCGCATCAACAGTTAGAAATGCACATCGCTAACTAGGAAAAAAGCCCTTAAAAAGTCCGCAAAATCATTCAAAATGTCCAAAACGATTCCTGCTCATTCTTCACCAATTGCGATTTTTGGGTCCAGCATGCAAATCCTCATTGATAGTGTTTGAGAAACTTCAGCGGAGCTCGTACCTATTGGATTTCCAGCCCCCAAACTCTGCGCTCCACACTCCTACTGGCTAATCTGCGTGATGTCACTCTGGGATATTTGGGGTCTCGACTCGAGAAGTTGTTGGGACAGCTTCAAATAACTCGAACACGAAGTTATGAATTAGAAAGCGCCATGCGAAAAGAAAAGACACTTGTGTCATCTACATTTTTTTTTTTTAAGTCACAAAGATAAAAATCGCAATAAAACAAGACTGATATGATTTTATGTTTCAACAAGGTTATCCATATTCACCAGCAAGAAGGGGTTGTTCACGGTGATTACAGAAGTGATTAAGAACAAATATATAAATAAATATATAATTAAATAAATTAATGACACAACCAAAAAATACCTGTTTTAACTGAGAAAGTATGATTATTACTAATGTTGTTATATTTGCATTTGTTGTTATTATATATA